TTGTGACCAGTTTAGGAAAGAGTATCGAAAGAATTTTAAGGTTCTGATCCGTCCTTTCAGCTTTTAGCGTCTCTGTTCTTGACTGGAATACAACTCCTCTCACTTATTTATATATATATATATATATATATATATATATATATATATATATATATATATATATATATATGTCAAACTAACGTGACTGCAGTTTGTAGAATGATGCTGCTGAGAATTTTTCCCACACAGACAGTAGGTTAGTAACGGTGACTTTATTCCTGGAATTTACCCCCCGTACAGAACAGCACAGTTAATCCTAATAAAAAGAAGATTTGGGGGGTGAGGGATGAAGGGAGGAAGAGAGAAGGAGTAGTGTGTGTGTGTGTGTGTGTAGGTGTATGTGTGTGTGTGTAGGTTGGAGTCAAAGAGGTCAGATGAGAAATAAAGACAGCCAACTACTGGAATCAGGAAAAGAGAAGAGCATAGATCTGCTGGTCTTTTGTCACAAATACGACACCAGACACGTCTTAGTTTGATCCAAATGTTTAGTTAAAAACAAAGTTAAAAATCTAAATGCCACATATTGCCAGTCCATTCAATAAACAGTCATTTTCACTTCACATGGGAAAGTCCAAACAGATTAACAGCGACCGAGCTTTTCAGTGCCATTCATTCACCTTGAACTTTTCACATTTTGTCACATTCCAACCACAAACTACAATGTATTTGATTAGGATTTTTGTTTAATGACCCAACAGACTGTATGGCGTACCTGGTGTTTTTCCATATATGTATTATGGGTGTTCAACAGTAGTTTAGGTTTAGTTAGTACTGATCAGGAGGCGTCCGATTTCCCCGATTTAACTGGGACATTATGAGGAAGTATGAAACATCTAGAGTAGATGCAGGATACAGGTTTAACTACGCAAATTGGAATTACAAAAAATAAATCCACTTAATGGAAACACGCCAAATTCGAAAGAAATAATATCTCATGTTTTTGACAAAACGTTTTGACCCTAGCTTGAGGGTTTCTTTTTTTTTTTTTTTTTTTTTTTTTTTTTGCCATATTGAAATTAGTGAATTGCTCAAAACTGTAATGGAATCACATTTCCGAGTCACACCGGTCACATGACCAACAGCAGGATGTTACTACTGAAGGGATAGACAAAGAAGAGGACAGGATGGCACGGCGTTTTTGAATGACTTAATGGCAAACCTATTAATATGTGATTTTAATTGTTTCTTATTTAATGGAAACAATGCAATTGAAAATTAATACCATGAAGGGCATTCATGGTATTAATGAATACCATGAATACCAGTAATGAGTTACTGCACTTTAATGAGTGCAGTAACTCAGTTTCTCAGAATGTATAAAGCATTCTTCAGCATTTCAGAGAAACTCGTTGCGTGGGAGTTAATAAGGAATCCTCTCACAAGCAGTAAAAATAACGAGGTTCACACTCTGTCAACAGGTACAGTACTGTAAAAACTAATTGTCCCCTCCAAAGATTTACTCTATTTTTCTTTTTTTTTCTTTGTCGTTTCAAATAATCGAAAAACCGTTCACACTGGGTAAGACACAATGCAGTCCAAGCAGGATGGTGGATCAGTAACGTGTTCTTAGTAGCAAGATGTATCGCCTTTGGTGACTAGAATAAAATCAATCTATATATTTTAAAAAAACTGCCTAAATCTGCAAGGGGACAAACACATTTTAACAGCATTGCATCTACAAAACCCTTTTAAGCAAACCTAAAGGCGAACCTGGCGATTCTCCAAATGTGGGCCGCTATTACACCATTCAGCGGGGATGGGACATATCATATGGGACGGGACATATCATATGGGACGGGACATATCATATCATGTCCCGTCATCTAAAGGACAGCTGCTGGTGCAGCAGCTCCAGCTGAGACCGGTCGTCGCTGGCTGAGATGTTCAGCTGCGTTCGCGTTGCAGAAATCTTGGCTCCAGACAAAACCTGGTGGTGACCCACTAACTGAAATAGAAATGCACTTCAGGTGTGGAGACGCGGGGCCGGGGCCGGGGCAGAGGCGTTTAGCAGTTACCAACGTGGTGCAGCACCCATGAGACGAGGTGTTCGGGTAAAAAAAACCCCTGCACATGTTTTTTTTAGTTCACACTCAACTTGGCATAATTCCTTTGGAATTATTATTACCTTAAAAAACACAGTATTTGCAGAATTTGCTACAAAGTTAACCCTTGTTCGTGTGAGGACTGAGGAAAATGATACAGGTTTTATGGGTGTGGGGTCGGTTGGACCCCATTTCTAAACAAAAGGGTTAAGCTTTGAAATTACTGCCATAAAATGAACGAACGGGTCTCAGATGGCCTGGAAATGCAAATGATGACTAAAAATCCCTGAAACTTTTAAATTTGTTGCTGAAAAAAAGATAAGGTGGGATTTTAGTTCTTTCAGTCGAAGTTCCATATTTCTATAGATTTAATCAAAGATAAAGTTGCATAAAGTCATTGGCTGTTTTCATTCTGTGGTCTTACAACTTCAAAGTCTTTAATAAGGATTTCTACGAACCTTTTAAATAACAGCTGTTCATGTATTTATTGACATTGAATTGTTGAAATTTTGCAATGGAATTTATTTAGGGGTACACAGTATAGGGAGTTGAATAAAAAAATCACCCAGGTTTTGATACTTTTATTTGTAAAAATCTGCTGCAAACCATCTACCAGTGTCCCTCCAATGCCGAGTGCAAACGAGACAGTTCCGGTGATAATTTAGAAAATCTTGCAAGACCCTGTATTTGTAATATATGCTATTATTTCTTTATAAAAGCGACACACACAAAAAAACGAGACAATTTTATTTTTCTTGTCACATTTTTATTGTTCATCGTAATGAAACAGCATCACCGATACAAAAAAAAAACAATAATAAAACACTCTTTAAGTAAATTACAAATCTGAATGTTTAGCCTGATCCGCAGGGAGTAAAGACACTGGGAACAGCACAAACATTGAGCCAGTGCTTCTCCGTGCCTGAGGGTCCGTAGAAAACTAAGGCCCAGGTGGTTTGGTTCACCCTTCTCTCGAATCGGCATTTGCTGGTGTCTGCTTTAGGAAAAGCACAAGGAGGCCGTTTGTCTGTGCCAGCACAAAATGCGTCCGTCTGTACAGCATAGGCTGAGGTAAAATTCTTCAACACTGTACGCAAACATGTGGGGGACAAATGAATCCAGACCGAGGACCTGAGACACTTAGAGGGTCAATGTGTAGTGTGAGTAGTTATACTTCTTCGTAAGACGACCCAACCTGAGGAGGCGATGAATCTCTTACATTTAACTGAGGTCAAAAAACATTTGTAAAACCAATACTGAACATTCATGGCACTTCTTCAATAACAAAGGCATCTTTGCTTTATCAGGCTAAGAAATGCTTTGATTCAAGTAAAGTTATACAAAATGAAACTTCACCAAAGATGTTTCTAGGACAGCATTGATACACATTGCAAGCCTCTGTAAGATAGGACCTTCAGCTTTGAACGATTGTCGCGGTACAGTGGGGAGTTGAAATATTGTTGTGCATTTTTGTTATCCTGAGGCAAAAAGAAATTATTGTCTTGCTTTAGCTTTACTGAACCCGGAGCATAACTGAACTGTACTGCCTTAATTCTGATTTGTGTTTCGGGAAAATAATGCTATTGTGATCCAATAGATGTAAGGCATTCTGATCCGGAAAGGTCACGCTAAAACATGAAAAAATATGTGTGTAAGGAGAAAACATTCTACAAATGTACAAGCATCGCAGAGAGAGAGAGAGAGAGAGAGAGAGCAAGCTACTGTCATACAGCAAGAGAAAAAAAAGTCTAACACTCATCCACATTTATATATAATATATATATATATATATATACTAAAAACAAAACAATTGATTGTAAAAGGCTTCTCAAGTACAACCCCCCACAACCCACTCAACGATGAATGTCGGTGTACCATGTCGGTGTACCATAAAATAAAGATTATTTACACAGCATGTACAATTGTCCAAAAAAAGACCACGTTTGTAATCCAAAAACATGCACATAATACACTATTTCATTTGAAATATCTATTTGCTTCACGTACGTAGATCCACAAAGGATCTATAAATGTCCACTTTGGCAGGGGTATGTTTGGGTATGTTAACATAACGGCACAATGATTGAAGGTGGAATCAGACGAATCTGAGATTCTCATGTCGTCACCAGCTACTTTACAAAAGGCACGTGTTTTAAATGCCAAAAATGTAGAGAAATAAAAAGTATCCGAAAGGCACAATTTAGGTCTCCATTTTAAAATGTAGGTGATAGGCATTTAAGGCAGCTGTAACAACGAATTGCTGAATATTAACGGACTTTAGCTTAGCGACTGAACAGTGTTGTTAGCCAAACAGTGAGTGTCCCAGGTACGTTTTAATATGTCACTTCTCTTGAAATATCACAGTTTAAAGAACAGCTACTTTGTGTTTCCGAGAAATAAAAACTATATGTTGCTCAATTTGTAGCAAAAAATTAAGGCAGAAAGACAAAAATGTCTTACATTTATGAGCTAGATATACAGCTAGCAGCCAGAGATGGTTAAGCTAGCATAGCTGGAATGGAAAAATCCTTTAGAAAAAATGTGATATTAAGTGTTAGCACTTTGGGGAAACGGATATTTATTACTTTAGAAATGTATAACATTCATTTTAAATTTCTAACCACCCCAAACATTTTTTGTTGTAAAATTGTAAATTTGAGAGTTTGAATTTGAGAATATAAAATAGTTTTGTGTGTAAACAGCTAGTTGATTTCTTGCCAAGGATCAGCAAGTAGCTGTAACATTAACTTCATATGCAGCATTTTCTTAAGAGAGCTTTTCTTAGCTATGTAAATGACTTTCCAGATTTATAAAATATAAACATAAAATTAAATTAGCAATAGCCCTATATCTGTTTAAATGTATTGGCTTTAAATTTGCACTAATAAAGAATTAGGAAACATAGCATGGATGATGTGCAGCATGCAGCTGATGGCTATTCATGATACCATGGCTAAAATGGGAAGATGTTTTAATTTGACATTTGTGTTTGCCCACTTTTGTCCAAATTATTGATAACTGGTAATTATTGGGGGCTTTAAAACTAAATGCTTTGGGACAGCTGATGTTATTTGTAGCTTTTGATAATGATGAAAAAGACAATTGCAAATCAAGTTACTCCTTAAAAAACGATTTAGTACAAAAGCGTTACAAAGACATTTATCAAACACCTATTGATTAGCATAGCACTTACTTTGACTATAACAGACTGTAACAGACATTATTACTATGTTGAAATCCTTCACTACTTTCTCTAAAAGTTGTAGTTCATTGGTTTGACTTTGAAATAGTTAAATCTGAAGTGTGAAATTAAAAAAAAATGTAAGTTATTTTTTTGAGTAAAGACCTTCACATACATCTCATCTGCCCCTATTTGTTCAGTTTTCCTCTCAGTTGAACCACAATATTCTGTTGATGTTTAGCTACCACCTCAAATCTGAGGCTAGAAAAATATGTTTCTCCAGTTCTTCCAAGTTGGAAAAAACCCTAACTGGACCACATGTTGAAACTGTAATTACATCAGTCACCAACTTCAAACCAATGTGGCCATCTCACACGTATAACGGGTACCTAGCTAAAGTAATGAGCTGTTCCTCGTCTCTGACATCATTTCCAAATCTGAGCTGCAATTTCTAGAAAAGTCAGCCGGGCTCCAGCCTAATATCAGCAGGTAGCTGCAAACTTGGCTACAAATGTAGCATTCACATGATAAACGTTTGAAGTAAGAGTTAGGAGTTACGATACAAATACATAGCAAGAGATGTTACGGATATTTAGTGAAACTATTTCAGCTTTCGCTGATGAAACTCTAGTTACCTCTGGATGTTTCAGCTAACTCTGTGTAAAAGCAACACAAGTGATTCTCCGTCCAGCAGTCTAGTCCTACTTTATGTCTGATAGGTTATTCCAGTAGGCATGTTGCTTGAAATGACCCTTCGTCTACGCGTAACCTGAACAACAGAGAACGCTATGATATGTACAATGCTACTTAATGCAGTAGCTACAGGTGATTATGTACATCCGTCTCCTCCATGTTCAGAGTTCTGTATGACAGTAATACTGAAAAGCACCTTCTTGTACACAGCTGGCCAAGACGATCGTCCTGACGAACGCAGACTTTGGCAAGGTTTCTGATTTTTTATTTTTATTTTTTTTAAATAAATTTAAGTGGGGGGGGGGAGATTATTTTTCCGCTTAACCGTCTTTGTTGATTAATTTCATGGACAGTAGCTTAAAGAAATACATGTTTTGATATGTGTGCATATATTTGATATGAGTGGGGGTGTCTACTGCATCTCCACATAAAGTGAAAAGTAACTGAAGTGCTTGTTTTTCATGGATGACGACACACTCCATTTGTAAATGTAGCTTAATTTTAGAAGAAAGAGGAAAACGGCGGGAAACGCCATCACCTGTTCCAGCCCTGCGGTCCAATCACAATGCTGTTCTTCAAGTGAAAGATTTGCTCAGTATCTTCACAGCTGGAAGTACGATATCGTCATCGCAATGATGATTCCAGACTGCCTGTAACGGCGTATTACATCAAAGTCTGAAGTTGTTACATTCTAACGTACAAAAGAAAAAAAAAAAAAGTCCTCCAAATGATGTTCTGAGGATGCAGCATATCCGGTCGATGCACTGAAGATTTTCTGAATAATTCAATCGAGGGAAGTGATGAAGATTGTGGTGTGGATGGAAAAGGGATGACTGCTGCTTTCTTAAATATAAATCCGAAAGTGAGGAGGAGGGGTCTTTAATGGGCGTGGCTGGTGCCGGGTGGGTGATGGATCCAGTCGAGAACGATCAGCGACAAGCTGCCAATCATGAAGACCACCCCCACGGCCAGGAAGACCGCCGCCTGGAGAGAGAGACGGGAACAAGAAGGGATTCTGGGTAAGGAGGCAATAAACTGGGGTCGCCCGGAGATGTATTCCCTGCCTATCGGTCAACTCAAGTTTATTAGTTTAGCACATTCAGCAACAAGGCAGTTGCTTTATGCCATTAAAACATCATAAAGTCATCAATTATGAAACAAGCAATAAACATTACATTTTGTCAAATGCAATCATCAAAATCATCAAGCATGAAGCATATTGACCAAAGTTCCAGTTATTATGAATCAATGGTAACTCTACATTTGGGTTGTTTCTGGAGGTTTGTTCCAGTTTTGTGGTGCGTGGAAGCTGAATGCTGCATCTCCATGTTTGGTTCTGGTTCTGGCGATGCAGAGCAGAACCAGAACCTGAGAGGTCTTGAAGGTTGATTCTGTTCCGGTAATCATTGCGACTAAAGATAAAAATTTCTCTAGATCTCGCTGCGACCTTAGTCTTTGAGTCTTGGAGATGTTCTTCAGGTGATAGAAGGCCCAGTTTGTTACTGTCTTTATGTGGCTCTGAAGGTTCAGGTCTGAGTCAATCACTGCTTCCAGATTTTAGGCCAGATCTCTAGTTTCTATCTGAAATAACTCTCTCCTTTTTAGGTCCAAAGACAAAGACTTCAGCCTTGGTGGAGAAAGACAGAGAGCTTAGAAGAGCAGTATAAACCTAATGGCAGTGCACACTTACCGAAATCTTCTGCCAGGAGTTGTATGGTAACGACTTAACCAGGCGGAGGTAGAAGGCAGCAGGAAGGATGAAGATGAGCATTGTAGCTGCAGAAGCACCTGCAAACAGAGGGGAAGAAGGGCTCATTAAAGCACGCAATACCCAGTTGCACTCAACAGGTTGCAATTTATGGTAAGTGAGGACTAGAATTTTCTTCATATTGTGCGCTGACAATACATAGTTTACTACTTAATTGTAGGTTAGGTTGCAGTAGTTTTCCCGTTGCTTCAGTAGATATCTCTTTACTTCCTAACTGCCTGCCCTCCTACAGAATGTGCCCTATTAGATATTGAGTGAGCAAGCAGAAAAGCTGACAAAATGCTCCTCCTGCCAAGCTAAAACTGCACCGAGGACAGTCATGACTCGCAGAGCGAGACCCTTGACGATTTAGGTTGCGGTTCTTCCTGCTGTAAGCAAAAAAAAGAAAAAAAAGTAGGGCACTTCTAAACTTCTCTTTGAGTGCAGGAGGTTTAAATGACTCGATTATTTTTAGCATTGAGGTGTTGACCGTCTGCCGTCGGTAGCTTCATGTGTCCACCCGACTGATAAGACTAATAAAAGAAACCGTGAGTCAGGGCTTACCGATGAAGCCAAAGATGTCCCTGATTGTGGGAACGAAGATGACTAGCATGTTGTTGAAGGCCAGGATGAGCGCGGCGATCACCAGGTGGCGAGTCCAGCTGAAGTCACGGCCCTTGAAGAGCAACGTGGTGATGGAGGAGCGGATCTGAGAGGAAACAAGTCAGAGTGTTTAGGGGTTGCACTTTATTGCCACATCTAGAACTGTACAGATCCATCTGACATAAAGGAGGCTTCACAGACACAAACGCGAATTTTAATGTGTTTTAGGGTGCGTTCACACTGCAAGCCATAACGCTCAATTCCAATATTTTGTGATTTTATTTTCAGAATTAAATGCCACTTTTATGAGATCTCCTGTGTGAACCCGAAACAACCTAAAAACGTCCTGCATGTGCAGTAGAGGACACAGTAATGTCACATGTAGCGAACACGCTCAGTGTTTGCAGAAGTAAATATGGACAGTAATGGTGGACTGTATCTTGTGATTTTAATGTTGTTGTCAAACCAGAACCAGCATGTTAACAATTATCGTCCCCCATGGTTGTTGTTTTTCTTCCTGAATGCTGAATAGAGACATTTGTCGAGGGTCAGTGACATACAGGTCGGAGGAATGCTACCTATACGTACAAACACAAGGTCACATTTGAAAAGATCGAATGCGTGTCGGACTGAGGACAACATAGCCAAGTGGTCAGGGTTGCATTTGTAGAATATTCAATCTGTGTTGTTCAGACTTTCATCAAAAGATCAGATGAAGGTCACACAAGGGCAAAAGATTCAGATTTTGGTCACTTCAGGCTGCAGTGAACGTAGCTTGCATCCCAACTCTTCAAACTTTTTCACATAAGATCTGCAAACCTTGCCGTCTTTAATGAAAGGTTTATGTGATAGACCAACACGGTGCCTCATAAGTAGCATGCATCTATATTTAGGCCCCCCTTCTGCCAGCCTTGTGACTTTCTTCCTTCAAAATAGACATTAGAATAATGTTCCCTTTCTCAGACTTGGTGTCTATGGGTATGTTCCTGAACTGGGTGTGTTTGTTTAAGAAAAGACGGGAGGTAAAGTAGCAGATCCCAGCTAAGACACCTTTTTGCTGGTTAAGCCTCCTCACTGGGGGAAAGGTTGTGGGGATCAGGAGAAGCCCGAGGCACCGTGGATTGGCAGGTCACGAGGGGAAAGGTAGAAAGGAAGTGGTGTTTTAGGTTGGGGATTATCTCCCGCAGTGCAATGGGGCTAAGAGGTTGCATCAGCCACCAGTGAGAAAAGGGCGGGCTAAAAATGCAGGGAGGGAGGGACGGCAGGAGTTGCTGTTGGCAGTTTTCATTCTTACTCATCGTTCTGCTTTACCTTTCTCACCCAAGTGTGTCGCTTTAAAACAACTGAGCAGTCATGACTTGCACATCTCAAGGAGGCCAGGTCGTATCAAATCTTCCCCAGTGCTGGCAAAGCTCAAATCTTTTAAGCCTGGGTTAGAGAAGAGGTTTATTTATGCTTCACTGCTAGGTACAAATTCTAATTATCTTGATTTTCTGTGCTGCCAGATTGAACCAAGGCGCCACTGAGATGCTTACACCATTAGATCCACTGCCAAGAAATTGTCTCCATTTGTTCCAAAACTCATATCATGCCATAAATCTAAGATCTTCATCAGCCTTCCTTCCTCCCTCTCTCCTTCCCAGAGGTTTGTGCATAATTTGGTCATCCTGGAAAAGTCGAGCCTGCATGCTGCTTTTCTCTCCATGGCACCAAACCATTCAGCACAGGCCTGCTACCTGGCACGAAGCCTTTGGAGTTCACCGTGTGATATTTACACACTCTGTTCCTTAGTATTTACTTGTAGAGCCGAACTGAGCCGGATACAGCTTTGGCCTGTTGGAAACAAACCAAAGACAAGGTGTCTGCTGTATGGGCCTGCCGACAGGGTCGTATTTTCACTCCACACCCGAGTAAAGTGAAACACAAACTACACACACTGAGGTTGATGTAAGATCTGAACCATATTTCTGCTTTGTGCTTCGCTAAAGTAAACGTGTGGCTGTCGGCGCACAAACTGTCGGCGCACAAGGCAAGTGAGAATGGAAAGTATCGGCAGCAATGGTAAAAAGTCCCTCACGAGTAAAAATACTCAACAGGAAAGTCACCTCAAAGGGTTTGTGGGCTAAGAAAGCACTGAAGCATCAACGGAAACTAGACACACAAATAAGAACCTTCTGAAAAAGAGCAGTTCCCTTTGTCAACCAAAACAAACAGAACTCAATGGGTAGAATGGTGAGCCCTCTAGTGGCGACACTGGCTCACTACAGGATTAACTAACTAATATTAAAGATTTAATATTTAGAAAACAGATTTTTTTTTTAACAGAATTTAAAAAAAATAAACATTAAATCGTCAAATGGGAGAGTAATGTGGTTTTTGATAAGTAAATAAATAGATTTTTTAAAGTGAAATTCAAATGTATGTTTATTTGTTATATTGCAAAGTCATTTTATTCAGTGCCTTAGAAATCCAAGAATGAATTACATGTTTTATTTTAATCAACTAGTACAGTTCTACACAGTTTACATCTTTATTTGAATGTTAAAATAGCTGAGTATGAAATTTCATATTAATGCGTTTGATAACATCTTTTCCATGCAGTTTGAAATATATTTGTAAACTAAATGCATTTTAATGTTCAAATTCTTGTTCATTTATGTTATAGCTAATTTTTCAATTTGCTAAAGCTGCAATCTATAATTCTATTTTATTTGAGCTAATTTTCCAATTTTTTTTGGTAAGTTTTACCAAGGTAGAAATTAATTTTAACCATGATTTACTTTGTTCTGATTAAACGTTTTAATAATATTTTAGATTTTCTAATAAGACATTTTTTTTCTGTATGTTTTAGATTTGTTAATGTAATTTTTTTTCTGTAAGTTTCACATTTCAATATTTTTCTACATCTCTATCTCATGTTTCCACATTTAGATGCTGCCATTTGTATTGTAGCTGCCTTACTAAAACAACTATTTTAATGTCTATGATGGTAAGATGGCAGCGGCCTTCACCCGTGGCCTGGTTGGCCTGAGAACTGGGACATGTCTGCCTCCACATAAAGCCCTTTCATTATGTACCGGATCCCAGGAAAAGCCCTGTGTGATCTGGGCGCCGTTAGCGTCTGCCCTTCATGTGACCGCTCACCCCAGCACACACGTGTGCTTTCAGGTTGCACACACATCTACATGCGCTATCTTCGCTCACATCTACTGCGTTGCCACGGGAGCCGAGGACAGTCAGCAGACAAAGCTAACGTTAATCTCTCGCTGAAGGTCGTCGGCATTTTCCTTCAAAAAACCTGCCGGGTGGATTCAGGAGGCAGAACGGAAACTTGGCAAAACAACGGTGAGACAAAGCAGTTCTTTGGGTTCAATGCTGCACATTCTTCTTTATCAGCTTCCCCACTGTGCAGCAGCAGCGGTTTAATTAACAGAATGAATAGTTATGGTGAGTTAATGAAACATTCCTAACTCTGCACACCTGCGACTCTCTAATAAGAATGCCAAGTGGAGTACTGCTCTCCCTCGGCTCTAATCTAAGCTGGCTCATTTATTTGCATGCTGACAGCGACAGGTTCTTCATTAGAACTAATTTATGTAAAAAGACAATGACTCATGTATTTTACAGCCGTAGTTTTATACAGGTTAAAACCAGTTTTGAAAGCACTCACAAAGATTTTAATGAGATTTTGATGACGTTTTTGATGAAATCTGCATTTATGCATTCCAACTGTGCTTCTTATTAAACTTTTATGTTCTTATCACATTTCTACTTACTTGTGATTATGTAATCCTTAACGTGAAGATAAAACTTTTACCTGAAAGTAATTTCCATAGTTTTTTTTATAGAACAATGTAGCATCAAGAAGAAGAAACTTAAGATTTTTTTCTTTCTTTTGCTTGTTTTCTACAATGAGCAATTTTAAAAACAGAATCACCTTAAGCTCAGTTATTATTATTATTTTTTAAAGGGGTAGTTGATACCTTACTTCCTTAGCATGAAGATGAAACTAACTGATTTATATTTTTTTATATATTAAATGCTTCCCTTTTGTCCGGAAGCCAATTTTTTACAAGCACTACAAAAATTCCAAAAGCCAAATATTTTTAGTTTTAACTAAAGCTAAAACTAGCTTGCTTTAATTTATTTTGATTATTTTCATGCTAAAACAAAGTAGGTATTAAGACAAATGTTGGTGTTTCAAAGAGGCTTAACTCATAGTTGGCATTTCTTTATACAAATGACTGGCTAGTATTTAATTAGATCAAAACACATAATTACAGATAATAGCTAGCTAAAAACTACAAGCAGCATTCAACTGCCAAAACTAGCTAGCTAACTATGTCTAGGCCTCTAAGATGATGTTCTTCCTTCTTGACTTCAAAGTTACTTCTTTTATCAAAAACATAAAGAGGGGTTAGCTTTAGTTAGAGCTAAGTTAAGGTTTTAAAATGTTTAATTGTTAAACACAAATAGCTTAGTTATGTGGTACACAGTTACTGGAAGGTAACATTTAGGCTAAATATTACATGTATTTTAGCTATAGCTAAAACTAGCATGCTTCTACTATTTAAAGGTAAAGAAACATTACTATTGCTAAATATTTCCTTCTTGCCGTAAAATAGAAATGATTTTACAATTATTTTTGTTTAAAATAAAACACTGTTGAGTTGAAGATATGTTAGCTAGTGCGTGGCACATTCTGTTAAACAATTTATTAGCTACTCTCAGTTCTGTTAAAATGTGTAACAGCTAGTTAAAAAGTTACATGTAGTAACCAGCTTAATTACAGCTTTCAACTGCAGCCAAAAGTCGCATTCCGGGTCAATTTCCTTTCACTATAATCGTGTTTTGACTAAGATGTTCTTTTAAAACCAAGCCTGTGTCCTCATAAGCCATTTCACCCAGCTCAAAACACCCAGAAGCTGATTTCCCAACATTACTAACACATTTCGAGGAACGGACACCCTAGTGCGGCGGATTGTAAGACAAGATATGTCGAGGAATGTACTATCCTCCCCCTGCCTGCTTGTCCTCGGTTCCCTGCCTCTGATATCTCGCAGGAGGTCAGGGTGAGGGTTTTTCCACTGCTCAGTTAGGGTGGGAAACATGGAGTCCTCCCACACCTTGCTTTAGGAAAAACAGCTAAACAAAGCAAAAGAAAACACCCAAACATCAGCTAGATTACTAAATGGTAAAACTGATATAGAGTTCAAATCCTACTGTTGTATTAAAATCATGAAACAACACTTTTTATAAAGCAGCAGTATACAGCATACAGTTACCATGAAAAAAGAAAATGTGCTGCCTCTTAGTGGCAGCCATGTGTAATTACAACTTCAGTACAAGCACATAATGTTTCAACATTATCTCAAGTGTGTGTGTGTGCATGTGTTGGTGTGTGTTCTGGAGCCTAAAGGAGGCAGGAAACTTCCACTGACCAGTGGGAGCTGTTTTTTTTTGTTCTCTTGGTGTCAGATAAGGGGCAGTCTAAAATTATCCTGTGACCATATATGGAGATGGTAGGAAGAAGGGCACATGTGTGAATGAATATGAGTAAGACGATAAGGTTTGGCGGCCGCATGTCATGTGACCCAATATGAGCAGACATTGAGAAAAAACACTAGCCGGCACAGTGTGTGTAGTGCGGAAATCTTTGACATGACGTTAAATGTGTGTTAGTGCAATAATGAGGTGTGGGTTTTTACAACCATAGGCTGTGTGCTTGGGTTCCTGAATGACGACAGGAAGAGTTTCAACCGAACAACATGTTCTACTCATTTGCCCAGAGTGGCAGCGGAAAAAAACCAGTCCATCCAGAAAATGACAAAAAAAACAAAAAAACCCCAGAACGAACACAAACGGACTCTGTAAGGAGAACCACACACACACACACACACACACACACACACACACACACACACACCGTAGCATTTAACATTTAAAAGGGCGGTGTGTGTTTACGTGTGCTTAAGTGCTCTGACGTAAATCAAACTGTTAATGTTTCAAATGAAAGTGGAACCGACTGAAATCTCATATCGTGCCGCACTGCAATAAGGGGTGGTGCTCTATTTAAAAGAGTTCTCATTAAGTAAATAATAATAAAAAGAAGACGTAGCGAGCAGAACAGACATAGCGCTGCTGTGTTCAAAGTGTGGCGTACTCACAGGGAAAAGCACGATGGGGACAGTGAGCGTGACGGCGGTGAGGACAGCCAGGCGCACCAGGAGCAGCATGGTGTCAAACTTGTAAACTTTGGTAAAGGTGTGCAGCAACTCGGCCTCCACAAAGTCTGCAACAGACGTGGAACAGAGCAGTCATGTCACACTTAAAACAATCCCAAAAGCTAGCAGTTAGCTTTAGCTGGAGAGACTTAAATTTACCTGCAGATTTTAGCTCAAGCTAGCATGCTAACTGTTTGGATAAAGTGCTTATAAAAAGTATTTCTTCACAGATTGATTGTTTTCTGTCACTCTTAAAATGTCAAGTCAATTTTGACTATAAACTAAGGAAATAAAAAACCTTTTAATTTATGATTTCATTTATTAAAATAACTTACAATATCCATCTTATGTAGCTCACTGCCCTTACCATAAAAGGTGAGGTAGCCAAACAGAGCCGACAGCATGTACATGATGAGCATGGCCAGGATGGACAGGTTGGAGACCCTCTGCATTTTTTTCCGGCTGCGACTACAAACACAGAAAACAAATAATTATCCAATGCCAGAAGGCAGCTAAATGTTTTCCTTTTTTTTTTTTCTTTTTTTTTAAAAGCAGACGATAGTTCTCAATATAAAAGAAAATGCGCTTACTCTTTTAGCTCGCTGTAGATAGGCAGCACCTCAGGATGGCAGACAAATGCAAAGGCCAGGATGGGGACAGTGTACGCAGTCTGTGGGTCAAAACAAAACAAAAAAACCCCCCCGAAGAGATGAGCTTTACAATCAAAACAAATGCTAACAAACAAGTTTTCACTTTTAAACCATCAAAAATTAGAACCCGAGTTCTATATTCATGGAAAATATTATAAATAAATGCATAGTATGCTCCAAGAACAAAAAACATTCTATGCACATGAATGTTTAGATTTAAAACTTTGCTTAGTTAGTCCTGGCCACCCTACTTGAAACATGGAGGTGTATAGCAATGGTCTAGTTTAAGTCCAGACCTATTTCCAATTGAGATTTTGTAGTAAGATGTAAACGGTATTCTCTCCATCTAATCTGAGTGAGCTTGAGTCAGGGTTGGTCTGGACACAAATTCAAAAATTTATTAATTGTGATTTTTGCATTAAAATATCCAATAAAATGCAGTAAAATTTGTTCTATGTAGCAAAACGTGGAAAATATACTAAAACAGACAACACCTACTCTGTGCTTCCTAAGTCACGCTGGTTCCCTGCACAAAGAGTAGAGACAGCTTTTTCTTTTTTTGGCTGGCTCAATTCTGATCAGATGCCATGTGAGTTATGTGTTCAGGTCAAAGGTGAAAAAGGCTGCTTCTCCTAAAATACTTAGAAAGAATCTAGGATTTCTACTTGTGTAGGAACCCGCACAGTAAAAACTGCAAACCTTTGTGAATCAGAGGTGACTCACCTTAAGTCCACACAAAGCCAAAATCTTATCATGATTTATGATTATAAGAGCCCAGGCATGAATCCATAAGCACACGATAGTCCAAGACACGCCTCAAATAACCCCGCCTTTTCCAAACATGTCTCTGCAAACTCCTGGAATCCAGCCTTTATTAGAAGTAGACCCAGCGGAAATGAACACTCTTGGCCCTCCTTCGCCCCCTACCTGAGAATGGAAGACGAAGTATTTGGGCCTGCACATCTCCTCGTCGTCGGGGTGAGGCTCGAAGTGGACGCTCGTGGTGTGGTGGTCGCCCTGGTTGCTGGTGACCACTGGGGAGACGTCGGCCCGCGAGAAGTCCAACTGCGACATGTTGTGTCGTAGCGCGTACAGCCTGGAAATGTCGCTGCCGTTCATACTGAGGTTGGACGAGTACATGAAAGGGAGAGGGCAGGGCAGCTGGGTCTTCTTGTAGATAATCTAGGAGAAGTAAAAAAAAAAAAACTGGGCTTTACCAAACAAGTTTGGTTGGTAGTTCTGACTGATATAAAAACAGCTTAGTTTGATTCAAGTAACACAGTAAGAAAAAATACTATATATAAAAACCTTGTTTCAACTGTGTAGACACATTATTTGTCCCATAACATTATCTGTTCATATCACAAATAAAAATAGTTACAAAAAATAACATGTATTACTGTGTAACACTAATTAGTAAACTAATCATCTTGCTAGCTAAGTTAGCAATGTTGTTTTTTGGCAACTAGAGGGCACAGGAAACAATGAAACAATCACTCAGTGTGCTTGAACAAGCATGCTAGCTAGCAGCTGCAAGCTAACATGCTAGAAAATTTACATTTCCAAAAGTTAAATGACTTTTTTGTTGTTTTTTCATGTTATATAATAGCAAACTTTAGCTTTTTCTCTGAAGTCAAAGACTAAATGAAAATAAACTCCTTGTTGATCCGTGAAGATACACCTAGCTTATGCTAGCTTAACTGTTAGCTTAATTTTGAAAGCACAATTAAACTCCATTTTATTCACATTCATTTTTTTAAATAAGCTTTAGTTCAGGTGACTCAATCTTACTACAATTCACTTGACTGAATTTGCTGTAAGTTTAGTCCCTGGGAATGCATTTTACTCTATTTTCATCCAAAATTATTTCTCATTGACAATTTTTTTTTCCAATTTCTTCCAGATTACTGCTGAAAGGGGTGAGTTACTGACTGTTACTGTTATTATTTTCATTTACTTGCATTTTATTGCAGATTCCTGTTTTTTTTTGTTGTTGTTGTTTTGTTTTTTTTAACAAACCCTAACATGTTCAAACAGGCTGGAAAAACTTATTTCCATGTTGGCTAGCTACCTTTTAGGAGAGCTATAAATCTAACTAGAGAGAATGAAGTTGAAATTAATGCAGTGACAGTGCTGTAATAAAAAATAAGTTAATGGAATGCACTTGTTGGCATGGAATGTTGCCATAACTTGGTAACAAGCAATCAACTCTAGACTGTTTTCTACTTTTAGGTTTAAATTGTGTCAAACATTGTTCGAGACATTACTCACAGTTTTTAGCTCAAATTCTAGCTTTTATTAAGCATTGTAACATGTTAAAAGAAAGTCTAATCTTTTCCAAAAAAAAAAAAAAAAAGAATTTAACAGGAAATTATGAACAGGCTCAACTTACCACAACCAGGAAGAAGACCATACAAGACAGTGAAAAGCCACTGGTGTAGCCCAGGTAACCTGAAGAGAGAAAAAATGAATTAAGTTTTAGATTATAACCCATTTCTATTGTTCATGTAAGTACTTAAGCCTATTTTTTCCCCCTTGTTTTAGTGAGAACCTCGCTGAACAAATGCAACACAGTGAAACAGGATTTGGACTTACCCAGATTTTTCAGGAGGGACAACGGCAGAATAATTCCGATGGACACGAACACCACCAGGTAGTTTCCGTTTAGGTACCATTCCCTGCAAACAGAACGCAGGTTTAAGACTGAGACTTCAAGGAATGCTTAAAAAAAAGAAGAAAAAAGAAAAGAAAAAAAAGTAAAAACTGCCCAAGATCCCTGAGAGCAGACCTCACCCTGAATTCTCCTCTAAGTGTAGGAAGGCTCGGATGACTTCAGGGAGCTCGTACTTCACGATGAAGAGGTAGCTGGACATGGCTGCAAGAGGACAAGGACAACGGTAGGTAACACTTTGTATCTGCATGAATTCGTCCCGAGTCATTAACATAGTTAACTGTAACTGCAGAGATCCTCGGCTTAATTTGGAAACAGGCCTCCGACTTAAACTGCTCTCCACACATCTGGTCTTCGTTACAGAGCGTGGGAAAAACAGAAAGCCGTTTTTGAAAGGAAATTAATGAGAAGCACCATACAGGTTTAGCACAAGCGAATGTTTACAAGATGCTAGGTGTGGCAAAAACCTCACATTTTCCCCCAGGGTTAAGCCTGGTGCTGGCAGCATCATGCTGTGTTAACGCAGAGAGGCTGAAGACAAATCCAAACCAACATATTCACTTTTGAATATTAAGTTGTTTTTTTTAACAAACTTCAGAAGAAGTTGCATCTCTTCCTTCAGCTTCACTGTTAAAAGCATTACTTTGTGTTGATCTTTCGCCCATAATCCAATGCTTTCATTTTAATTGTGAAAGGTGTCAATCACATAACCCTGTACTCTGATTAAATTACATCTCTAAATATAAATTTCTAAATTCAGTGTGGGTGTAGATAAAACTGCATTAAAGCTCTCATAAGCATGTGGCTGGAAGCATGTCAACACATTCCTGAAAGGTTCCAATTATGATAAATTTGACCCAAGACAAACTCTAACTCCAGGTCCAGACAGACTCACACATGCGCTACGAATTCACATTTACCTCCAATGTTTTGCATGATTATTGATATGAAGGCAGCCATTTTTCCCGGCCAACCGAACGCTTTGTGCCCCAGCGTCTCGTAGATCAGAGATCCTGCCCATGCAGACAAGCAGAAACATGAAGACAATCAAGTGTATTCTTTTTTTCCCCCACCCACTTAAAGAAAGAAACTGTTAAAATAAAACAAGCGAACACATCCACATCCTCAAGATGCATGTTCAGTAGTAACACCAACCTCCTTCTTTTGCCGTCATGAGGAGAAGATGAACGGAGTACAAGGAGAGGATGGCCACAGCGACTAGGAGGATTCTGCACACAAAGACGGACAGAGAGTGAAGATGAAGCACATTTTCATGCTTTTTCAGTTAAATACGACAGAAAGGTCTCTCTGGGATGTGTGTCGTTTGGTGAGCTAGCCTTGTGGGATACGGTGTCCTGTCAATTTTAGCATGGTTCCAGCATGACCTTTGTAGAGTCATGTCGGAGCAATGCCAACTCATCCAGGCGTTTGGCCGCTGAAAATAGCCTAACTGTGTCAGGAGGGTGATACGGGAAGTACAGGAACAGAACATGTACATCAGGAGCAGCCGCCAGCAGCGGATCCGACCCAACCTGCTGGGACTTGAAGGTAGAGCTTTGTCTCATAGCTGATCCTGATAATAATGTTTGAGGACAGATGTTGCCAGTCTCAGTGAGGAAGGGCTGCCCAATGTTGGACCAGTCAACAAGAAGACGACAGCTAACCCTCATCCAAACCAACACATGATCGAATGTTATTGACTTTTTGCGCTCTTCAGAAGGCGGCCTACTCCATGGCCGGCCATCAAAACTACCAGGTGGTAACTTCATTTCGCTTTTATTTAGTTGATTGAGCTTTAAAAATGGTCATAGATGCTGCACGGTTGGAAAAAGTTCTTGAATAACTTTTACTGAGGACAGCTAAAGGTTTTGTAAGCATTTAAGTCAGCTCTGGTGTAAGGGGAAACATTGTTTATAACGTAGTGGTATGAACCATGTAGTGTGAATTCAGGCAAAGTTGGCGATTTAATCAAATCAACAAATACATCAGGAGGAAGAAGGTTATTTCCAACTTTTGCAAATACCGCCATCTATGAGCTCCAACTAACTCGACTTGAACAAGTAGAAGCAAAGGCAGAGACATCAACCTCAGTTGCTCCGTTCAATACTCCCGTCCCTTACTTCTGACGTCCGTCATGGCGCCTCATGATTAAGTGACGCAGTAGCAAAGGGTCAATACATAAACACATTAGCAATATCCCTGTGAGCAACGCCACTTCCCAATGTGAGTCATGCACACATAAATGTCACAACACTCTTTTTGCAACGAGAAGGAGCCTCTGGACTTACGTAAAGAGAACAATGCCGGTGTTGGCCATGGCGTAGGACAGGCCCAGGATGCCGCTGCCCATGATGGCATTGCTCAGGTTGAAGACCGACATGCCGAAGGAGGCGTGGCCCGGATGCTGGCCGAGAGAAAAGATGGAGAGTTTACAGTTTTGCTATTTTAATGTTGGTTAAATACTTGTAGTGACGGATGAGCTCTCTTACATATTCTTCTTCCTCATATTTCTTCTTCTTCATCAGCCCATTTGATAAGAACCTGTCATCTTCCCCATCGTCATTTTCGTCTATATATTGACTGCTGGAAGACCAAGGAATCAAATCTTTAGGATACACTGGAATCTTACAGACATACTGGAGGCCCTTCACAGATTCCGCCTGTTACTGAAACATTTCAGATCATCAAACAAATGTTCATTTCAGAAAAATGTAACCTGAGCTGATGTGCAACATAGTTACAAAATGGTTTTAGTCTGAGGAGACAAAAGTTAAAGTTTCGGGAAGGTGTGTGTGTGTGTTACATCTGACTTAAAACAAAACATTTCAGAAAAAGACCCTGAAGGTTGTTATGTTGCTTTTGCACCTGGACAACTTGTCCTGAGCGACGGAACCATTTCATTTTGAAAATCTTTGAGAAGGAGAAATCAAGAGGACTTACTATCTTATGGAGCAAAACACTGATCTAAAACACACCAGCAAGTGTACTTCTGAATGGCAACCCACCAAAACAGCAAATAAAAGGTTTTGGTGTGACACCGTCAAAGCCTGGACTTTCATTTAGTTGAATTCAAACAACAGTAGACCAAAAAGCCTCCAGACATATTTAAATGGCTCCTTACCAGAAACAGCAAACACTTGATGACAGCATTAGATTTAGGGAGCAAATACTTTTTTTGCATAGGGTTGGTCTGGATAGGTTTCTTTCCTTCAATATTTTAATAATTGTCATTTGAAAAAATGCTTTCTGTTTTACTTTGATGATCTGAAATATGTAGAGTAACAAAAAGGTACCTCTGCTTCCCTATTTGGTCATATATTTTTTTGCTGACCTGGCGATGGTGGACTTCTCCACATCAATGGGACCTCTGAAATGTTCCTCCAAGCTGGCGGTGCTATCGTCGTCGGCCTCCATGGGGACCCTCCTCAGCTCCATGAGTTCCCTAACTCCAGGCATTATGACGGAGGCAGCGGGACGAGAGGCGAGGATCCTTTGTTTCGGTCGATTGCTCGGCGCTCAGTCGTCACAAAGAGTTGACGCAAAATGTTTCTTCTTCAAGCTTGACTGAATGTTGATACCCTAGAAAATGGAAAAAAAAAAACAACCTAAAAAGAAAATGGAGAAAAGAACAAACTATTTAGATTTCTGTTCAGACCTGCAGAGTTCTTCACCCAAACGCGTCTTCCCCTAAAAAGCGAAAAGTTGACGAAAAGGAGTGGCAATATGCAGCTGATTGCAGACCTGAATGGCGGCATGTTGGCCGTCTTATCAGCCTCCCCCAGTGCCTTTTGGCCTTGATGAAGAAGGAAAGAGAAACAGAGCTATCTACCTTGCAAACGGTTTTCTGGAACCACAATCCACTCTGGCGCTACCTTGAGGAGAACATTTCTAACTTATGATAGTAGACTGTATCATGTCTGGCTTCCTTCCAGTTTAGCTGTAAAGGCCAGTCTAAAAATTCCTCTCTCCTAAAAAGTTGGGTGTATCAAAATGTGCAGTCCAGCGCGGCTTTAGAAAAGGCACAGTGTCTCCTGCTGTTGGGTGGATCACCTCGGAGGAACTCATAGGATTTAATTAAAACGAGAAGCCCTGAGTAAAGCCCGGGCTAAACATGTCACTATGGATTTAATCACCTTGATTTCTATCAAGACCCTTGTCAATAAAAGTCCTACATCTCCAAGAATAACTTTGGAATAAAGACGTTGCCTTACCAAAACTTAGGACACGACAAGGATCAAAGTGCATGTTGACTTTCACTTGTTGTTTAATACAAATTTAACCACAGAGAACAGGAGGCGCCAAACTGAGTACTTACTTTTTGCTTTCCGTCTGTGCTGCTGATCAATATGTTGTGTAATCGAGAGGTCAAAGCCAGGGAATTAGGAAGGCATGACTTTAATGCAGCTACTGCTAAAATGATTTACAGTGTTGTTGGTGTTTCACACAAAGAACTCTTTGACTCAATCCGAGGAAAAAGATCCACAACGGTACACGGCGACCAAAGAAGAAACAAACAACCGAGTAAGTCTGAGCTATGGGAATAACTACACCAACTGTAAAGACATGTCACTTTTTTTCTTCCCTACAAAGAGTGACTTCAGGTATTCCATACAGGTTGCTATGACTACATGTCTGGATATAACCAGCAACTCAGTACCCATGTTCGACGACCAGCTAATTTCAATAAACAAACGAAGAAGAAGCACACAGGGTTCCTCAACTTCAGCAGTTGCAATAAACATGTGGTACCGTTGGTCCACTCTGCTTTAATGACACCAATAAGTGGCACATCTACGCACTCCACAAAAAAAAAAAAGACAGGAACTAATTTTTTCCACTAGGCAAAAATTAAAAGGTTCCTTCTTGTCCTAACATTTCTTACCTCACAAGAAAATTTAAGTTCAGATCTCCTAGAAAGTCCTCACAGTGGCATTTATGAGTTAAGAAGCATTTGACCAATCAAAATTTTTGCTAAGATGATCAATCAAGAACAAAGTGTAAGAATATTCAGTTTCGTTGTAGCTGAGTATCTAGATTGTTTTTGGGTTTTTTTTTTTTTTGGGGGGGGGAGGGGTCAAAGTCATTTCCAAAATCCTACATTTATCTTTATTTCAGACATGGGAATGGTTTCCTTTCAGACAGCTGACCAGCAATGGTCAGCAACAGACGGGGGAGGGGAAGCATTAACTCACACTACAAGAGAATACATTAAGCAACGCACAAAAAACTCTGGCAGTTCCTCTGGCATCTCATTATTACTTTAAACCACGGGAGGTTAATGACAAACATCTTTTGGAGTTTTGAAAAGTAACTCTTTAAAGCCCACGCCTAATGCTAACTTTTTTTCTATACTCATTTGTTTAATAGTGGTGTAGAAAAAAACAAAAACCTTTATGACTGGAACTTAAAACCCAACCTAAGAATCCAATATGACTGCCATGCGTGTAAAAACTTAAAAATAGCTACAGTAATTTCTATTTTTGATGTGTTAAATCACAAAAACTCATGAAAAAAATCATTGTACTATCAAACCTTTGATTGAAAGCAGGTTGATGAAGAGTTTGAAAGCAGCTCATAGAAACTGATAGCATTAGTAGCTATAAGCCAACATGATGGCATTACTAGCTTCTAGCTAATTTCTGCTGATATCTACAAGCAACAGCTATTACCTTGTAATGCTATCAGAATTACAGGCTGATAGCATTGCTAGCTATGTAAAGCTAAGAGGAAATACTAACAATTAGCACATCTGACTGCTTTTCTAACCTAAAAGTTGAACTGTAAACTATTCCACTAATATAAAACATATTTAAATCCATTTCTAAGTGTCTTCATGCTCTTTAAAACTCAAATAAAAATCAAAGATTAATACAATAAATCTTTTAACGTCAAATATCCAATTGTATATACAAGTTAAATATCATTCAGCAGTACCAGCTCCTTTCTACAAGTTATCTGAGCTTAAGAACAAATTGAGAAATGCCATAAGGTGTTTGAATCAACAACAGTTTCAAGAAGGAAGTGTTTGGGCAACAGACTCTTTGCATCATATTGCAGCGGCATGAACAGAGTCAAGTGGAAACCAGCACAAAGGTTTTTATTTAGCAACAGAAGGACCATTATGCAAACAAAAGTAAACATATGTGACTCCATCTCCACCAGGCTGGCCCACAGCATGACACTTTCCTGCAGATGATGTTGGCATTGCTGAGTGACTGTCACTCTTCCTGTTTCCATAGCCCTGTCACAATAAAAAACTTGAATCCTTCAGAAACGAGCCGGACGTTTTGCGCCTGTTGCTGCCAGAATGGGATCAACACGTCCGACCGGGTTAATTTCACATGAGAAGAAGAATGCTGAGGAATGTACTATATAAAATAAGTCGAACTGTATACATCTAGGAGAAGACAAAACGTAACTAGAACATATTGCAGAAGTAAGTTCAAAAAGCGATCCGAGCTGAAAATCTGTCAAAGGTTCGTTTGTGTTTATGGTTCTTGTTTTATTGCTGAAACTGTGAGTCAATGCGCTCTATGAACACGACATGTATGCCACCTTCACATGGTCAAACAGATGCATTTATCTTCTTCGATCAATGCTGATGGTTGAAAATATAAACTGGATTGTTAAACGAGGCGTCACAGATTCCTCATGCAAATGAATTCATGCTTCAGTGCAGATAGAAAGTAAACACATCAGAAGTCACATGTGATTACACAGCATGCACAAATACGCTCAGTATGATGAGATCTAGTGGTTGTAATTTATTATGTTTCATTTTGATTTATAGAATATATTAATGTGATTTCTGCCAAACACACGTTTGGAGAAAACTCCTCCAAAGCTCTCCTCGTCTGTTCTCCACCCAAAGCAAACTCTTGCATCAGCCATCTGTAAAATCCTCTCAGGCATTGCCTGGGTCAGACTTTTAAAAGATCTCCATTTTTTATTTTTTATTTTCTGACCTCCCACAAAATAAAACAAAAACACACGCACGCAAATGCAATCATTTTGCAGTGAAAACATGAAAATTAAACACTCAGCCATGCCGCTACATTTTTATTTTTGTTTTTTTTAACTCCTCACCTAAAATCCCTCTGTATAATATTTAACACAGTGAACATTTAGGCTCACTTACTGGGATAGTTCTGAAAGAGGGTCCGATCCGGTCGGCGCCTTGCTTTTCTCTTTTCAAACAGTTTATTTGAAGCCGAAAGACAGAAGACAGACGAGCGACTAAAACGAGGAGGTGCGGCTCTTTAGTAAAACTCAGGTAAGAAGTCGCGTTTTAAAGGAGAGGAGGGAGGGCCGCGCTCAGCCTATGAGGGCGATCCCACTGTGTGTGGGCCCCTCCTTCGTGGAATGTAGAAAAAAACCCGACAGGGCCGTGACCCCTGTAAAGAAATTAGATAGAAATATAGGCAGACATACAGATAGACATAAAGATAGAGAGATGGTCAGATAGAAAGATCGACACAACAATAGGCATACAGATAGATAGATAAATAGAGAAAAACCCATAGACATATAGACAGACAGACATACATATGGGCTGACAAGTTGACAGACAGGGTAGTGACACCAGATTTGCCACCATCAGACTGAAGTCATCGGGTCTATCGGTTTAAATACCCTCAATGCCCTCAAGATCGGATCATGTGACACACCACATGACCTGTTCATCAGTTTTATTCTCTGGAAAACGTAGTCCGGTCAAACACTCTGGAACCGATCTGAGACCAGTCCCAAACAGAGCCACTTACTGATAATGGCCAACTGATTACACACACACACACACAGAGAAGTCAGCCGTACACACTTATTGACATCTGCACACTGACGGTGACCGTCAGGGGTTTGGTAGGGTAGGCCGTGCCGCTGCCTGACCAATCGGAGGGAAGAGCTGCAGGGATGTTGCTCTAGCCAAGGTTATGTTCGCGTCAATGCGGGGGTTCTTTATCTCTGTGGGGTTTGTGTCGTAACGCCGGAGAACACGCACGCCAACGGATCGTACAGCGGGCAAACTGCCGGACTGATTCGTATCTCAACAACAGCCTCAATTATCAGCCGGGAGGAACTGGATGAGTGCAGAGTGCTTCAATTTATTTTCCAACTTCTAGAGAATCAGAACGAATATATGATCCAGTGTTTCGATCTAGACCATCAGCCTCTAGAATATGGAGGAAATGGTATTTCATTAAGATTTGGAAACTCAAGTCAGAAAAATCTGCTGGAATGTTCCCTAAAGATAGAATTGTAAAGCCTAAAGGGTTCAGATTCATTTGTTAATCCAACATGGCAGCTGGAATGTTGCTATAGTTACAGTATACTTGAACCTTTGACAGGTTGGATATCAACAAACCAGTGACACTGTATGACTTCAGTTAAATAATTTGTAACAAAAAAATAATAATAATTTGTTGGATTAAAGTTACGCCCGATCAGATCGGTTTCAATAGAAGCAACTTTATTGTCCATCGCTGTTGTTTCCAGATGTTGTTTCTGTGTCAGATTTATGGGCGTACCAGAAACACGCAAATACAAAGGTTCCGCTTGGAACTTTTGTACGAACCCCCACCCCCAACTTATGACTTTGACTTACTTTAAAATTTTTAACACATTAAAATCTATGTAATCAATTACTCAAAATTAACGCATTGAAGTCCAAGCACAACTAACTCTAAATTATTGTAATGAGTTTTGTCAGAAGTTCAGATTTTTATCTTTAAAGTCTGGAATTTTTGTTCCACACTATTTTTATTTGCTGACACGATAAGCACTACACTTACGATTTCTGAATTTTCCTAACATAAAAATAATGATAAATAAATAGTTAAAACAGGAACAAACATTTGCATATCAACAGGCCTTGGTATCGTCTTCAGAGGTTTCCTTAAATAAGAAGCAAAACACAAATTCCTATAAATAGTAAACTCCCAACCATGACAGGTGCATTCCATAGATGGCTTCGCTATCCGTTAAGTGTATGGGGGTCTTCACATGTGTATTTAGCCAATCACCTGTGACCAGAATGCATCAATGAGCTAACGTCACCCCAACAGGGGGCTGGACGATGGCGATGTTTGAGGACAGATATAGTAGATGTTGCACACCTAAAAATATCAATGTTTCTAGGGGCCGAGAACATGGATCCATTTCTATATTCGAGCTAGAAGAAAAGAACTTCGACACTAGAAGCGATCTGTGAAAAACACTTCATGGTGTCACGTTTGGGTTCCAGTTCAAATCGAATGATCAGGTGGCTTTACGTACTGTTCTTGTCTGAGTATACAGGAACAGAGAGTGCTCTGTCCAACCCTCTATGTCCTTTCAGTCTCTTTTATGTAAATGATTATTGCCTCTGGCTTCTGCTCTGGGCCCACCTCTCGTCGACAAGTACTGCCCCAATCTTCTTGGAATGGCTCTATGAAAAAGTTGTTGACTAACTGGCAAAGTCACAATAATGCTGGAACCTGCTGTTAGACATTGATGTTTGTAGCCACGTCCTTCTTAATAAGCACCCTGTATCTATGTTCGAGGCTCTTATTTTGAAGTAGGATAGGAGGTAGTTATTGAGTTGTACAGCTACGTCACGTCACGAGTCCGTGAATAAAACCAGACAGGTTGAGAATGCTGGGATGAAAAAAGTTCTCAAAAACCCTCATCACGATTAACTCCTTGCAGTCTATAGTCACTACATTTCTGTACCATTATACTCTAATTAACTATATACCACAAGAGGTTAAAGGCTAATAATCACATATTAACCTCAAACCCCCACCAGACTAAGGTGTACACATACCATGAATGCCTGTTGGTGCATTTTCCACGCATACCAAGAATTATAATCAAAGCAATGTGTTGCCATATAAGTGCTTCGAGTTCAAAATGTGTTTCTTTTGTATCTGCTACATTCAAATTGACTGCAAGAATTGGGAAAAAAATCAGGCAGGAGTTTAGGTAGAATGTAAAAAAAAAAGTTAAAAGAGTAGATTTAAATAACTGTGAAGCACTATGGTAATACTGTGACTGGCTAACAGCTGGTCGATAAAGTAAAGGATTATTTTGATGCTTGTTCATGACCTGGACTAAAAAAGTCTCGATAAGATATCAAATAAGATTTTCTGGAGGCAAAGCTACAGGTGTTTACAAGAATCCAGGATCAGAAAACATTTATTTTATGAATATAAGTGCCTTGGCTAAATAGAGACACATAGTATTTTTTAAATTCAGGTTTAGTCAAACTTTTTTTGTGAGAAAAATGTGAAAAACCATCTGAAGCATGTGTCTAACATGGCAGGATGAACACCACAACAGCTAAGACAACTAAAAACAAAAAACAAAAAAACTAAATGAAATTTAAATTTCAGAGAGATTTCTGGTACAGAACAAGACCTCTACTGCATATCATTAGGTTTTCTCAGAAGATGTGTGTTGGCTCAAAATTTCTTTCTTCATGGCAGCGGAATATTATTTTGTCTCAACTTAAAAAGCAACAGCCGACACATTTTTCCACTTCAGACAGCATCGGTGCTTCTGATGTAATGCATTCCACTTCCTTCTGCATCTCTCTTGAGAAGCCTGCCTGTCCAACCTCTTCAGTCACTTTCTGAAACCAACAGTGCTGCCGTCATCTCTACAAAGGGGGTCTGCTTTGCATATGGGTAGCTGGAGAGAGAGAGAAAAAGCCAGTCTTTCTGGCTTTCAACTCCTGTTAACATCCAGGAGCAGGGCGGTTGCCTTTGCGACACTTTCAAGTGTGGACATTCAAAACAAAGGCTGACACATTCTGACACAGATGATCAGCAACTGTTATGATCTTGCTGGCTGTATTTGTCCACTTGAGTTGGGTCAGTGCCGAAAGAAATAACAACTGCTTGGATATCTGATTACAGACTTAGAGAGAATTGAAATCTTTTAAGTTGTCAAGACACATAGCGACAGCACAGAAACGTTCGTAAAGGTTAGTCGGCTTTGGGACTCAAAGCTTGGATGGACCAATAACAAATGGGTCTGTACAACCAACAGCCATGTGATTTGAGGCAAGAAAAACACCCGTGTTGTCGTGGTGCAACACACCTTGGATAGTGCACCGAGATGGAAGGGATCAGTGGACTTTTGGTCATCGTGGGATGGTTTTGCGAAAGACGTTTCAAAAACAAAAGCTCAACAACGGCTCAGAGATTTCTGACAAAAGAAACTGTCTGGATGGAAAGTTTTATGACCTCAGAGATTAGTCTGAAATAAATCAAAGACCTCTGACTTTAGTCTCTTTAAGTGACATTCAAGGCTATCTGGCTTGAAAGTAAACATCATCCTGCCCTTTTGTACATAACCCCGGTTTGCCCTAGTCTACAATGAACCCAACGGACCACATCTGTTCATCTTATCAGTGGCTATCGATCTCTCGTTGTGTATTCCAGAAATGACGCCAGCGTCTTGTTTTTTTCTTTAGCAATATGTCATTTTTACACAGCTGATGATAGGAACCTTGAGTTTAGCTTATATGTAACTGAACGCAGGAGGTATTGGAAGAAAAAAAAACATTATTTCTTAATCAGGTATTTTCCAGTTTCACAAAAGTTCAATTTAAAATTTGGACCTATTTTAGCTTCTTTAAAAAAAGAGAGCTCTCTACTTGGGAGTATACAAGTGATCAATTACTCCAATAGTCACAAATACATCTTGGTATGTTTGCATTAAAGGAGCATTTGTGTCTTAGCATAAATTTCTGGATGAAAAACATGCAAAGAAAAACTTTGATAAAAAAATCTGGGATTTTCAGTGAGACAATCTACCATTATGACTGAACCACTGAGGACAGGAGAGTTTAATACAAGAATCCAAGAAATTAACAAAAGCAATAAAACTTAAAAAGCGAACATACTTTACCCTGATTTGATCATAGCCTCTGGTTCTATCCACATTTCAACTCACTGAAAGGCTTTTTTTTGTCATTGTACCAGATTTGAACAGAATGTGACGGCAGCTTCCTGACAAACCGCCAAAGGCCGCTCGGAGTCCTGTGTGATATCGATATTCACTCCCTTGAAACTGAATCGACATCTGGCTTGCAGCTCTTTTGGTCGTTTGCGGTCCAGGTTACATCAGTTCAGCTTCGGCCAGCAGCCGCACGGCAGGCTCTGACCGACATTTCAGAGCTCGTCCACTGCCAAATAGAAGCACATATCCATGGCTAGCCTCCAGCATTTATAGAACAGGTGCTCCAATCTGTGCTGGTATTCCAGTCTCTATTGGTGATCTAGGCTGTACTGGTACTGAAGTCGTTGTGGTGTGTTTTAAATGCAGGATGTTTGGAATAAACAAAGTCAAAAAAATCTTTTTTCAATCTGGTCCCTTGAAATGATCTCTCCAGTCATAAGGTTTATGCATTTTTGCCAAAGACTTCACTGAGTCTTTGAACCGTCGCTGTTCTACAGCGACAACTTTGGTGCTTTACATGGTAATGGAAAAACAATTAGCATTCTATTGCCTTACTTCTGTCCTTTGGGCTTCTTTCATATAGCTCTCTGACCTGTGTAAAAACAATTTAGAAAATGACGCTTTTTAAATAACACCCAGCAGCCTCTGTCTATCA